TTATTCTTTTTTATTTTTTATATTAAATTCTTTTATTGGTACATTGCAGGACTTATGTTATTCTTCTTTGCATCATCTAGTAGCTGCTGGATTGCTTTCTCGTTGTCCCTTACAATTTTAAAGCAATTTTTCTTTTCCTGGTCACTAATTGGAATCCTATCTTCTGTATCTGAAATTCTGTCCTCACATTGGCTCATTCTGCTGCATAGAATTTCAATGGAGTTTTAATCTCCTGGAAATCTGTTTGCATCTGTTTTATGTATTCCATTTGTTTCCTATGTTTGGATTCCATCATGTTCCTCACCCCTCTCTAGATTTATTAATCATGTCTTGCACTATGGGCACAATCTCTGCTGTTATCTGAGAAATTACTTCTGATTTCATTGTTTCTGGATCCTCTTTTGTTGCCAGTTCAGAGAGTCCAGGTGGTTGAGTATCAGATTGTTCCATCTCGTTTTCCTTTGGGCTTACTGTACATGATCTGGAAGTCTGGTTTTGAGGCTTGTTTTTGTTTCTTCTCATTTCCTTGGGGTGGGGGTGTGTGCTGCTGGCACCTGCGTGGCTCACCTCCTCTGTGCTGAAAGCGGGTGGTACATTGGCCCAGAAGCCTCCTCCTCTGTACTGGGAGTAGTGGCATGTTGACCCGGAAGCCTCCTCCTCTGAGACCGGTTCTCTTTCTCTGACAGTCTGAGCTGTTCTCCAATAGATACCCTGACCACTGCTTGCTGAGAATATGTAGGCCTCACATTTGCAACTATGCTTTACTTATTGCTGCCTCATCTGTGAATTATGTCTTTTCATGTTTGAAGGCAGACAAACAGACATAAATTAGTATGTACACTGCATTGGTAACTTACTGTTTAAATATTTGACAAAAAATTATATTCTCCAATACTTTTGCTGAGTTTTAATCATTATAACAATGTAAATGTCCTGGGTATATTTAGAAAGTTTCACCATTGAGCCATGGGCATTCCATAGCATATACAGGTGATTAACACCTACTTGATGCAAACCTTTCTTGCCTTACTGATGACCATTTTCCTCCTTTGGCAACTTTTAAGTTTACCATGTGTGATTTTCCATGAACTTAATTCTCTTAATTTCCTTCTTTGAATTTTCAGTATTATATAAAAATTGCACAGAGAAATATTTTGAGAAGTTTTATTGTCTCACTATTCTCAAGTGCTGATATGTGAATCAAGGGCAAAGTACTTTCTAATCCATTCCATTTGTATGTGGTTCAGGATTTTTCAAGTTTACTTGAAAAGAATCACATCCTTCTCCAGGGATAATAGCACAATGTTTTCTGCAGTCGTTGGAAAGAAGTCACTGGTCTGTATGTTTTGGTAAACTCCAAAGTAAAGGAGATGAATGTGGAGTGTATAAGCTGGTTCTCCATTCTTGCTTATTGTGTTCTCCCACACTTCAATTTTTTTGGTGATTTTCTCCACTTAGATGTGGATCTTATTTTATATTAAATCTTTCTCTTCTGTCAGTTATGTTGTAGTTAATTTTTAGATTTGTGTTCATTGGCCTTTACACAAAATCTTTATATTGTGTACACAGCAAATATTTTATTTCCCATGATTTTCATAGATTTTAATTTCTCCTTCTGATTCTGATGAATACTTGATTTTGTTCTGAGGAAACATTTTTTTCTTATCTGAATGTTTTTAAACTATAAGTTCCCAAGACATTCTAGTTTATATTTCCCCTTTTAATATGTAACCTATGTACATAGACGAGTATACAATCCATATTTCCAAGTACATACCTGTTTCTCCCTGAACATGAAGGAAACATTGCGATTTCTTTCAGAGATGTTTAGCATCAGCTGCATAAAATATCTATATTCTATTTACATGTGGATACATTGAAGACTGTCTTCCTTTCCTGAGATCCATTTGTCGTTCTCTACTAATCATACACTGACATGAAAGGTGGAATTTGAATGTCTTTCATATAAATTATGCAAACTATCACCTCGCTCACAAGGTATTGAATGTTGTTAGTCTTCTTTATAGTCTAGAGCTATATATATATATATTTTTTGGGGGGTACTGGGGATCGAACTCAGGTCCTTGCGCTTGCGCAGCAGGCGGTGAAACCACTGAGCTAAATCCTTGGCCATAGAGCTATAATTTTTTAACAAATCAAAGGTGTGATTTGTAAGTGACACAATGTATTTTTAAGTTTTCCTTTTGGGGGCAGGAGTTTGAGGCAAGGTCTCACTTTTTAATTCAAATTGGCCTTGGAATTTCTACATACCCCAGGCTGTACTTTGAACTCATGGAAATCTGCCTACCTAAGTCTCTGAAGTTCTGGGAAAACTGGCTTGTACCACGATACCTGGCTAAAGATTCCCTTTTGTAATCAGGGCCTAAATACTTTTTTTTAAGGGCCTAATTACTTTTTGATATCTTGGTTTTCAACACATTAAATAAATTGCATTCATATTCTCCCATTCATTACTATTCCTCACACCATCCTAGAATTTCTCTTATCTGAGTGCAAGGTGATCATTTGGTGTCTCTGAGGTATAAGATAATATGCCACCATTCTGCTATTCTCATTGTCCATAAACTTGCTCCCATAAAACTTTTCATTAGCATCTGAATTATTATTCAGAAAACATTTTAATGTTTAATTAAGTTTTTTCTATGAAACCAGATCCTAGTTTCAAAATGCTACCTATGTAGAAGAAACAAGGGCTCAATTCTGTGAATAATCAGATTTGAAAAGAGATGTAATCCATGGTGTATCAAAACCTCTCATTAAATATTTACTTGCCCCTGTGTTTTGTGGATAGTGATTTTCAGCCTCCCTCTATGAGCTCTGCTTTAAAGACAGTCCACAAATACAATTTGGGTGACACTGAAGGGCAACCAGTGCTAATATTGTGCTGTTGCTTTAGCAATGAGTTCCAACCCAGCATTAAAATTGCTGTGTGAAAATATGTGCAAATGCATAGGTTTGTTGACCAAGACATGGAGGTAATATAATTCAGCTTTTTAAGGGAAGAATTGAGATCTCAACCCATGAGTCACAACCTTCCTTCAGGAAACGTGTGATTATTCAGGACCCAGTGACCTTTGAGGATGTAGCTGTGAACTTCACGATAGAGGAGTGGGCTTTGCTGAAACCATCCCAAAAGAAGCTCTACAGAGATGTGATGTGGGAAACATTCAAGAATATGACTGTTATAGGTAAGGATGACATTTTCTCATTTATACAATTAGCAATGGTTCTTGTTCATTGGTGCAGTTTAATTAAATAGAATGTGAAAGTATTTTGAAGAATATATCAGTCTGGTTATATTATACCATGAAGTTAACAGGAGTCTATTAATCTTTATTTAACGATATAGTAATTTTTTATTTGTCTATTTACAATTCAGGAAGAACCTGGGATAACCAGCAAATTGAACAAACATACAAAAATTGCTCAAGGAATCTAAGGTAATTTGTGCTCTCAAGAAAACAGAATATTCCTCAAGAATTAGTGTGTCAGCAGAAATATTACAAATGAGGCTATGTTCAAATTTATTTAATTTCATAAAAATTCTCCAGAGATGCACAAGGTTGATTTTATATAATCGAACAATTGAATACAGAAATATTCCAATATAGGAAATTGAGTAGGTACTGACGCTTCTCGGCCTTTTGGCTAAGATCAAGTGGAGTAGGTACTGATATTATGCACCAAGTGTCACTGTCTGCTACATTGGTATAAGAAGATTCTTTCATAACCAACATCATTGAAATGTATAAACTTGTATTTTGGTATTGTGTAAGCATATATGAAAGGAATAAATTTTGATTTGATCCCCGGTACCAAAAAAAAAAGAATAAATTTTGAATTTTGACAGGAACTTATCTTCAAGATATCTAATTATTTATACACATGAGACATTCATTATCTAAAAAATATCTAACCTGGAAGCAGTATTCAAAATAGAAATGAATGGGGCTGGGGATTTAGCTCAGTGGTTCCGGAGGCTGCCACAAAAGCGCACGGTCCCGAGTTCCATCCCCGGTACCAAAAAACAAAACAAAACAAAAAATATAAATGAATGTTATTATTGTAATAATAGATGTTTTCAAAACATTCTTCAGAGAATTGTGTCCATTCATGTTTTAAAATTCTTAGAAGGCACGCTCATACATTGTTGGTGGGAATGTAAAGTAGAACCATTATGATAATCAATATACAGATGTCTCAGAGTAAAAGTAGAAGTTTTTATTTGGTCATAGTATACCTCCCTGGGTATATTCTGAAATGAGTTAAAATCATCATATTTAGTAATACATATATACCCTTGCTCAAAGCAGAGTATGCACTGCTTTTCACAATACCTAAGCTTTGGAAGCAATTCACAATATTTGAATTCTGGAAAGAGCCTAGACACCCATCATTGTTTGGCTAGTAAAGAAAATATGGGATAGGCTCAGCATGGTGGTGCATTCTTGTTATCACGGCACTCTGGGAAGCTGAATCAGCAGCATAACAACTTGATGTTCAGCCTGAGGAAATTAATTATCAATGAGGATCTTTCTTCAAATAAGACCTAAAAAAGCTGAGAATGTAATTCAGTGGTAAGAGCTGTGTTTAATTCTCAGCACTGACAAAAATGCATTGCATATTCAGTCACAAAGAATGATATCACATCATTGTCCAAAACCCAAAAATAGATGGGACTTCATCCCATAATGTTAAGTGAAATAAGCCAGATACAGAAAGTGAAATATTGCATATTTTCTCTTAAATGAGAAACTAAAAATATATTTTGAGAGTAAAACAAAAGAGAGGTGATAGAAAACAAAAGGCTAACTTTTTGGAGATGGGAAAATTGACCAGGGTAAAGAGAGAAGGGGAGAGTGATGGGTGAAAAGGTACAAAAAATCATCAATATATGAGAGACATAGGTATCTGTCCCCTAAAATGAAACTACACCATATGTATTGCAGATACATACCAATTAAAAATTTCCAAATAAATACCATCCTTTTGTTAATGGGTGTTTGGAAGGCATCTCCAAGGTATTAGGTAAATTCATTGTCAAAATAAAGTCTTTGTAAATAGGGAAGGGTGGAAGGGGTGAAGGAAGGGCTAGGAATGGGGAAAAAATAAGAACCAAGACTAATTATGTAAAGGTACAATTCGCAATGAGAAATGTAATTGTGTTGTATACCTTCAATGTACCAATGAAGAATTTAATTTTAAAAAAAATTTCTTTGCAGGCATCAAACCAGAACTTCTCCTGATAAATTATTAATATGAAAACCCTTTTTTATTGTGATTGATATTTTTTGTTCTTTTTTCTTTACAGAAATGAAGAAGTAGTAAAATGCCATCAATATAAAGCTTGGAAACAACAGGAAGAAATATTCCTTTGGACTCCAGATGCTAATAGGGACAGGCAACAAGCTCCTTTACCTGAAAGCCTTGCTTGTAAAGAGCCCCTGATTGGGCATTTGACCCTAAATGTGCCCATTATAGCTCACACTGGACTGAAGTCAGATGACTATTTGGGATTTGAGGAGAAGCTATATAAATGTAATGATCATGGAAAAACCTGCAGTGATTTCCAGTCCTTTCAGAAGCATACAAGGACAAAGACTGGAGAGAAACCCTATCAATATGAGCAATGTGCAAAAGCTTACTCTGATCTTAGTGAAAGACCTCAACCTGGAGAGAAAACCTCTGTAGGTAAGAAAAATGTGAAAGCCTCCAGCACACCCAGTGGTGTTCAAATCCATGAAGGAAAGCACAGTGGGGAGAACCCATATGTATGCAAACAATGTGGGAAAGCTTTTTTTTCTTCATACCATATTCAAGTACATGAAAGAAAACATACTGGAGAGAAGACCTATGTATCTAAGGAATGTGTGAAAGCATTAGCTCATAATAATTCCTTTCATAGACCTAAAAGTATTCAGACTGGGGTGAAACCCTATGTATGCAAGCAGTCTGGGAGAGCATTCACTGCACATAGTTACTGTAAAATACATGAAAGAAGTCACATTGGGGAAAAACCTTATGTATGTAAGCAATGTGGAAAAGCATTCATTACACAGAGAGCTTATAAAACACATGAACGTAATCATACAAGTGAGATATGCTATGTGTGTAAGCAATGTGGAAAAGAATTCACTCATAAGTCCACATATCATAGACATACAAGGTCACACACTGGTGAGAAACCCTATGTATGTAAGCATTGTGGAAAAGCATTCCGCACACACAGTCACTGTCAAAGACATGAAAGAATTCACACTGGGGAGAGACCCTATGTATGCAAACAATGTGGGAAAGCATTCATTACACACAATCATTTTCAAATACATGAAAGAACTCACACTGGGGAGAAACCCTATGTATGTAAGCAGTGTGGGAAATCTTTCAGTCAACGGACTAATTGTCATATACATGAAAGAATTCACACTGGGGAGAAACCATATGTATGTCAGCAATGTGGAAAAGGATTTGCTGTTAAGTCCACATTTCGTAGACATGGAAGGTCCCACACTGGTGAGAAGCCTTATGTATGTCAGCAGTGTGGGAAAGCATTCAGCACACTCAGTCAGTGTCGAATACATGAAAGTATTCACACTGGAGAGAAACCCTATGTATGTAAACAATGTGGGAAAGC